GGGGCGCCGGCGGTGCTCGGCCCACGGCTCCGGCCGCCGCCGCCGCCGCCGCCGGCGGCGCTCGGCGGCCGCGAGCGAGACCGGGACGCCGCTGTCGGGGCGCGCGCGCTCGCCGACCGGCCGGCGTTGCAGCGCGGACACGAGCCGGATCGCGGGTCATTCACCCTGCGTGCGCCATCTTCGGCTGCGGACCCTGTCGTGGCAGCCCGCTTTTGAGCTACGTTCCTCGGACTGCGGGAACAACGAAGACTAGCCGGATCGAGTGTCGTTCACATCAATTATATCAATGATAACGACAAGAGATAAGCTGTCCGAAGAGAACCGCACGCCAGGACAGCCGTTGCACATATTTGCTGCTACCAAATTTTGTCTGCACATAACAAACAAATTACCAATGTTATGCACACCGCAACGGTCTCATTCCAATGGTCCAGCGGGTGGACGCCTGATGCGCGGGACGAATGACAGCCGCCATGTACTCGCGACCTATGGACGACAGCACTTGTCCGATAAGGAAAGATAGTAGCTTTACCAATATGCATCCAACAAGCTTCTCTAGGCGCGAACTCTGGTCTCAGCTCTCATCTTACAATGGTTTGAGCTTAAATGTGCATATGCGTGTGAACTACAAACTAAACCCTTCCGTACAAACACGGCAACAACTCCATACAGTTCACGATAGACTACTATTACCACATGAATTTGGCGTCGGAAAAACTTACCGCCTACCAGTGGGACATTTGTGTGCAATATCGTGCAACTGTGCCGCAAAGAACCCAATTTTCATAAACATTGCAAAATATTCAGAAACGTATAAAGCAAGTACGCCTGATTAACCGGTTTGGACACAGCAGATGATTCCAGGCATAACTAGCTCTACATCAGTACACAGGGTCTCAAGACATGTCTTCCACCAATATTTGGGGGCCAGGCTGTGCATAGCAATGACGCCCATCAGTGGCGCTTAACATGATTGCCACCTTCACCCCCACATGCCATCAATATAATCGAGTCACATTTGCATGAGACGAAACCCTGCCCAATTATTCACAGGCAAGGGATTGAAACCTGTATGAAATGCCGCATTTTGTACAACACCATGATCTCAGCAGACAACACTTCACTGTCAAGCCCAATGCCAAGTCGGGCAGCATACAAGTTATAGTTATGATGAACACAGCGGCTTGTCAGCCTGTCTTCGAACACCACAATGAGCGAGCCCTACCGAGTTACGCATCCGAATCAAACCTTCACACGGTCCGCTACTTGAACCTTTTTTAAATACTAGGAGTCAAACCACCAGCACCGCGCTCCGTTGACCCGCTCTGTGTCACAGCTCGGAAGCCAGCGTGTCGTGTCATACCGACACTCAGCGTGCGCGCCATGTCGTGATCTCGTGAGTGGAGTCATGTTGAACGTGATAGGCGACGCAAGCCGTGAAAACGGCAGCTGTTACTAACGCGGTGGCAGAACTCCAATCGTGCCCGAATGATTCCTGTGCAATGATGAACCCTGCACGCCGTCTCGACTGCAATCAACGTGTCGCTTATGATATGGCGAGTATCCAATGCTCATGGATTTGCTGAGCAAATATAGCGATCAAGCAGTCCGCCGTTCCCAGGGAGGCTATCGGTCCAAGCAAAGCGTGAAGATAGCGGACGCACCGCTGTCCGGCCGTCCGACTGTGACAGACGGCAACACGTCCAAAGCACCTAGTTGTAGAGATCGACTACTGATCTGTCTTTTGAGAAATCACTGGTAGAAAAGAAGGCCAAACAATGCGGCGACAAAAGTCGGCAAAAGTAACCCATGAATTAGGTCCCTGTTTTGAAGAAGTTGTGAGTTCCCATGCGGAGAATACCTGCCACCAGTACACCGCGGGTACCTGATAAAATTACCACATAAATTAATCATTAGAATACGCCATTAAAACCCATGAGATGTCCAGCAGCATTCATGGCCACGAGGGTGAGACCTCACAGTACAGCGAAAGGCCGTTAATACTATGTGTAACGGAAAGACCACACATGATCCCCCCCCCCCCCCCCCCGGTGTGATACATAATCACACGGTTATCAGACCAACAATCACACACACATCCCTAACACTTACATCGAATCAACAGCGCTGGGCTCGAGCCGAGGCACGTGCCATTCTTATTGAGATTTATGCCGCGGGACCATCGGATCGAATCCACGCACGTTTTGTTGACCGCACGACAGTGCACCGCTCGCACTGCCATGTCAACATGCTACCTTCGAGGACACATGCTTAAAGGGTTCTTCCTTGCTGGTATGATATCAATGTCATTGCATTACCACCGATATGGAAAAGAAGACAATATATAATTGCACCATCTGGCTTTTGTTCTTTTCTATGTCCTATGCCTAGGTACCTATAATACATATTTATCAACAAAATTGACTGTCATGAATGATGTATCATGCTTTAGGTCAAACCAAACAGACGTCCTCAAATTATGGAAAGACTTAATTCCAATGATGACCCTTCAATTCAATGTACATCAATTTCTAGGTCATGTAGCATTCATTTCTAACCTCCCATGGAACATGAATCTATTGGGCAGCCCATCATAGGCAGTTACTACTCATAATAGTCAATCAACTGTTAGCCCCAGCACTCAATTTACACACACCTATCATGAAGTTGTGTCTGCACAACTTTAGAATGGGGGAGCTAACATTTGTGCTGGAAACCCCATGTTCGAGCACTGCAGGTATGCAAAATGTTTTGTGTGGCATGTAACATAACATGTTTACAATCTAGTTCTTACAAAGTGTATGTTGGATTCTCTGACTTTCAACATTCACTTTCAAGCATATCAAAACATGCAAATATTTTATACTGGGGAGGGAGACAGCCAGCAAACCTCCTAAATACACCCATGCACCATGTCACAATGAGTAAGGTCATAGGTCATTCTCATAGGATGAGAATAAGAAGTCAGTAACAGAGACAGCAGGGCAGACTTTAATTTGAGTGACCAAGCCCAATCAGGCACCTTTTCACTACCTCCATGATCATGAAGATCTTTCCAAAAATGTTATGCAATACAGGTCCATACAGCTTTCAAGAATGATTTTGGGTTTGGTTCCATTGTGTTGTTTATTGCATTTTTTTCCAAAGCTTTACAGGCAACATTATCACCAGCCAAGCCCTTCATGCAACATTGCAGAAGCAACAAAATGTAACCCACCTCATCCAAATAAATGTGGAAAAATATTACCAAAGGTGGAACTTAATGGCATTTCATCCATTTCATGCACCAATAACAAGGCATGGACCAGGTAAGCCCTGGTATTTTTGAGCAATGTGTGCAAAAACCATGCAAGCCCAGCTCAGTGAGCTTCTGCACCAAACTACCACACTCTTGGAAAGTCAGCAAAAACAAAGCTTTGAAAAACCATCCCTTTTCATGTTTTGATAATGCTGAAAAATACTAGTCAACAGCACTATCTTGTGTGCCTCATGCTATAGGAAGGGTGCTGCCAGTTGTACACATATGACATGCATAAAACAGCCAATTGCTTTTGAAGCTCATAAATGCCCCAGCACACAATGCTGTGCCAGCATACCCAATTATCACAGCTCAAAGCAATGCACCACTTACTCTGATGCTTGTCAGCTAATGAGATGAGGGATGAGGAGATGTCTCTCCTCCTGTAGAAGCACATCACCTTAGCCTCCACATTGCCACTTAAAGTCTGAAACATACCAAAAACATATCAACACATCTGACTGTATCACAGGTAGCGTCAAGTGCAAAAATGAAACTTACATGAAGTGGTACAAATAACACTAAGCAACTCAATCATTAAGTGACACATCAAGCATAACACCAGAAGACTACCTTTCATAATGACCAACATGATGTCAAAGCGCAAAGAGCACAAGACACATTGATAACACAGCAAACGTAAAGCAATTATTGACAGAAAACTGCATGACAGGTTTTGAGAGTAATTACTGATTTCATCTGTATTCATTCTTTCAAGTACAACCAATACAATATTAGCATCATGACATCAGTATTCTAGTTACCTTATTTAGTTCCTCAATCCTACGAATCTGGTAGGGAGAGGTGGAGGATGTCTCAAAAAAGACATAGTCTGAAACAAAAACAAAAACAGAGTCAATCAGAAACAAAATATTGTTTAGCGACATTGACTAACTTTGAAAGCACTTGCAAAATGCAGATATGGCACACCCTTTGGCTCACTTAAATCATTCACCCCATGCTGATGTGCACAAACATCCAAAAGCAGCATAACTTGACACACATGATAGTAATTTGTCCTAACTCTGCCCAAACTGTAGACCAGCACTTATTCATAATGCATTTTTTGGTTATCCTTTAGGCAGGTAGAATAACTCCACATGGTGGCATTAAGCCACTATTAGATGACAATAAAAAGTGGCAATAAACAAATATCAAGGCAAGAAACTTACAGACCAGCTCAAAAACTACAAGCCCTTAATTGATTCCAAACAGTTTTCAAGGAACATATTTTCTACACTGTAGGCATGTGAGTAAAAACTAACACTGACATAAGCTTGACACCTGCAGATTCTAGTTATACTAACAAAATGGCATACAACCATTCTGGCTCACTCAGACCTTCAAGCACCAATTTCAAATCATGTCCATGTGGCAATATCACATGGGAATCACATCAAACACTGCATTGTGACATTAGCAAAATATACCAACTAGTCTTCTTTATGAATGGAAACATCACATCAACCTGAGATTCAAGCCCATTGGCAAGAGCACAAATTGCATTGACAGAGCACTGGAACATGAAAACCTGCAGCTTTGAATCTTTGACATGACTGAGCATGAAATTGTGCACATCACCTATTCAAGACATTAAGCTTTGAATACCTATGAGTCGAGGAAGCCAGAGAAATGCAAGCCAGTGGAAAACAGAGATATAACCAACTGGTGCTGTGTGTTTCATATTTGCAAATAATAAGGTTCTGCCTTGGGTCCCAGCCAGTGTTTTTATTTGAGCAACAAACAATAATATTATGTTTTGGGCTTCATCTGATCTTTTATTTGAGCAGCAGCCAAAACAAATAATGTAGTTTGCTGCTATCCTATATAACATGAATACATATGCAAAATGACCTGAACCACTAAAACACACTCTCGTGCAAATACCATCTTTCCACACTAGCATGTATCAGGTATCATACACATTCAAATTGCAACATATTAGTTGAGGCTGCTACTTAAAGTGTAATTACAATTGTTATTCATGTACCTGTGCTAAAATAGCTGACAGTGTGATCAGTCAAGCAGAACAATCACAGTCTGCATGCTAAAATGTGGCTTGAATGATATCAAGTGACTACATCACTTGGAAACACACCCTGTTTCATAGCTGAGGTGTAAATTTACTAAGAAATATCCCTATCTTTTTAACTATATCTGCGCCACGAATGTCTCAATGCAACAGAGCCGGTTGCATGTACGCGTTCTGGTCAAAAGCTAGCTTTAATATTGATATGCTTACATATTCGCCCGATAATTTAATTCCTTCGCGCATCATGACCATGCAGTTGTGCCGGTCTATCCTCATCCATTTCCCCATCAGCCGGCACATTCAGCAACCCACGCTCCGCAGAACAAACAAAACAAGCTGCTCCCCTCAAAACTCACCTCCAACCCTATACATGTTCGCAGCCATTGCATCTAGATTCCTAAACGGAAGAACAACACTTTACAAGCATCTTCAATGCTTCTTCATGGTCACAACACTCCAAATGTCCGCGATACTCGATAATTAATATGGATCACAGCATCCGCATCACCACCAACTTCGCCATTTTCTGTGTTTCCTACTCATTTACAAAACTCCGTGACGTCACAAGCCCCGAGGCGTTCATCGGACGGGTGGCAGAACGGGTAATGATCCCCTCTTCAAAAGATCTAGGTTTGTTGGATCACTCGCACGCAGCTGAAGCGGCCGCAATCGGCGAATGGAGTGAGTTTTATCCCGGTGCGTCCACCACGCCAACGGCCATTTTATGACATGGTGCGTAACGGCAATCAGCCATGCAATTGAATCCAGGTGGCGCCCCCTGACGACTCTGCTGGGAAGGGAGGACCGGACGAATGTTGTACTGATGTATTTGCGATCAGGTGAATATTTACATGTATCCAAGTACAAAACACGACCGTGGAGATTTGCACTGTGAATATCTGGTAGCAAAATAAATACGAAATGTCATTTGTCTATTTGTTTGATGCATCTAGTTACAATGTTTCGTTGGCACGGGTGCTTATGATAACGTCGAGCTGTACTGTGCGGAAGTACGTCGAGCGACAACGAATCCGTTGAAGGCACTGGCGACGGCGGGTGCGAGGAGCACCGGCACTGGGGCGGCATCTGTTGGTCCGAGGTGTTCCAGTGCGCAACGAACTTGTCGAACACAATGACAGCAAGCTCGATTGCTGCGATGATAAAACAATACATATTTACCGAATGTGTCACATGGATAATTGCAACACGACAGACAACCGGCGCTCAACCGCAACAAAACAGAACACTAAACAACACAGCGAGAGCGTCGCAACTTCATGAGCAACAAAGCATAAAATTACATCTATCAAAACCGGGCGGCCGTTTGCCGGCCACGGCCGCGTCGAGCCCGCCGGGCCCTGGTTCGCCTTGTCCGCGGGCGTACTGGTCGGAGGCCTTGATTGTCCAAACATATCACATACAGAGACAGTAGCTGAGATCTTGCCGAGCCAGTCGGAGGGGTCGCCAGCGGAGCTGCCGGCTTGCCCGGCGCGAGGCGTCGTTCGCCCGGCCCGTGTCACGGATGGCGCCCGTGACCGCCGGCGGCCCGCGCGGGGGCCGGGCGCGGGCCCGGCACCCGGCGTCCCGCGTTCAGGTGGCAGCTCCGGGGCCGGGCGAGCCTCCATCGGCCCGCCGATACGGACCGCGCAGCTTAGCCGGCGCCGGCTGGACCGACAGGCCGCGCGAGGAAGAACAGAGAACAACCAACCAATCAAAAGCCAAGACCGTATTGCTTCCGGCCGCTCCCGAGGCCGGCCTCCGCTCCGCTCGGCACGACCGGGAGGCCCCGCGAGGCCCCAGCCACGTCCAGGGGCGACATCTGCAGTGGCGCCGGCTCCGACCAGGCCCGCAGCCCGATGGCGCGCCGTCAGATAGCACGCTCGGTGGCAAGCGGGGCGCCGTGGAGGAGGCGACCACCAGCCGGGTGGACGGCGAGCGACCGGCGGGGCGACGCTACCGGCGCGACAGGTTCAGCGGCATGTCTGCAACGGCGACACAACAGCGCGGTCAGTATGGCGGCCGGCAGGGCGACGCTACCGGCGCGACAGGTTCAGCGGCATGTCTGCAAAGGCGGCACAACACCGCGGTCAGTATGGCGGCCGGCAGGGCGACGCTACCGGCGCGACAAGTTCAGCGGCATGTCTGCAACGGCGGCACAACAGCGCGGTCAGCAGGGCGGCCGGCGCGGCATGACGCCGCCGCAGGAGCTCGACAGCACCCGGCCAAGACTGGGCGCCGTCGTGCCCCGCAGCCTGCAAGCGGGTGGTGTAAGAGGAGCATTATTAGCTCAGATAAAAGTGAGTGGTGTGCCCGAATCCATTCCAAATGGAGGCCACACATTATTTCCATTGTCGATGTTACTAACCCACACTCTTCATACCCGGACCCAGGAGCCCGCCGTTGCAAGATCGATTCAAACATGAGCGAGTACAACAGTGATACCGATAGGTATGTCAGTAATTACGACCACCAAATTGGCAATCATGATCACCCTCAAGGAGAATGTGTCGCCTATGCGCGAATGTATCCAACCCTAGCCACTGCAATCTGTGGCCCGGCGTAATCAATGGCCTGCAGCGCTTTCCTGGTGCGTCGGGAGACGAGCCCGACCATGTGGGGCCAAACCAGCGGGACGGTATGATAGCCGCTGCCGCCGGGGGTCATGTGAGGTCAAAGGAGAGGGGGAGGGGCCGATGACCTCTCCGTCCTACCCTCCCACCGGCAACACCTCCGGGACCAAGTGCTCGACACTGAATGCGATAACGATGTCTATTTTCAACATTTGTCCCTGTCAGGAGAGGTACCGGCATTGTAATATCAAAAGAGCAGCATAATTTACAATGTCCTGGTGTTCAAAGCGCAACATGCCGTATGTGCCTTTCGTCGAGCTGTTTTGGTTGTTCATTTTCAAACCATATGACAGAGAGACCTACACTGGAAAAAAAACCAACGGAGACATCCACAGCGGCGTGAGAGCCGCATTTCAAAAACACAATTATGTTCATACATCGTTGAATTTATGATGCTCCTTATCAACACTGCATGTAAAATGCTGTCAAATATCACGTTCAGGGTTGCCATTTTACATGAGGGTAAAAAGAAGCTGCTCAATCACCATTACTTTGTAATAACAACGTATCTGTTCACAGCAAACCGATACAACAGCATGACCAAAAGACGTGGCGTTAGAATTACCACGATACATAACCTACCACGTGACCCTGCGTCCTTTGATCACCGCCCATGTAGCGCACGACAAATTTCTTCTACAATCAGATGAAATGTGTTGCCACTCAGAGGTACGCATTAATCACCTAGCAGCTAGAACAGGTGTACAACACCATGCCCGCAAAATCAGACGAGCATGGGCATATTAACTTCAAGTCAGTGGCTGCAAGCTAATGTTTCAAATCTTGTACGCAAATATAGTATGGTTCGCATTAAAAACTCATGCTACATTGCTGGCCCCACGATGCGCATTTATTCCGTACAATAATGCAGTAAGAAACTGGATTGTGCCTTTTGATCGAGGCCTGGCAATTCGAGCACGGCCTGGTCGGGTCTGGGGCTGGTTGGTCATTCGGCTGTTGGTCTTAGTTCACCGAAAGAAGACCAGCCTGGTTTGGGGAACGGTTTCATGTTTGCACCGGCGTCACGCATTTGCATTACATCTTTTTTATCAACGGCCAAAATGCCTCTTCCACTGCCCTTATCGTAATGCAGGATACGCAGCATTCAACACATAGTATCGGACATTGTCACTTGGTTTCTCCAGAAACTGGACTAGGCTTGGCCTGTCTTGGGTTTACAATGGGCGGGTCGCCTATGGACTGGCATGTCTCTCACATCATACTGTTGGCATCATGTCTGATGCCAACACCCACGCGTTCCATTTCTCTTCTGAGAACATTTTATGAAAGCGTGCATATTACCGGCTGATTTCAACCGATACAAGCCGGTTGGCGGAAACTGCTTCGGCCGGCTGCTGTCAAACCTGGATGTTAGATTTCGGGATGCAAAATCCTTGAAACAGTACATGGGAGGTACAAAATTCACACCATATGACGGGAAAAGTGGTGTCTAAAGATTTCGAGAACCGCGTGCCATTTTCATCTTCCTTTGCTTTCTCATCCGACGCCAACCGTTCTGAACGACTTGGGCTCAGCATGCATCCTTTTGAACACGAAAATGAGTTGCACACTTCCTACGGCCAAAGGTGAGGCAACTCCTTCCCGTCTGCATGGTGCCTTCTGTGCTCCCGCCGTTTGCTCTTTTTACTACTTCATGTTTATAAATTTTCGTCCCCGAACGATAAGAGGTGATTGGGGGTTAACACATGGCAAAGATAATGACCCCATCTATACTTACCGATGGCGTAAAACCTCACAGAATCTTGGAGAATGTGCGACCGGCAAGCAGAAGGAAATGACATGCAAATTAGGACCAAATGACCACAGTTTTTACGAACATCCCATAAAATAGATATCAGTGCTCCCAACGTTTGGTTCACAGCCTACCATAATGTTACTGCAATCCCCCACACGTGGCACGCGTGGTTACACCAGGATACTGCGATTGATTAAACGGCCACCACCAAGGCGAGCCGAACCGCTAGCCTCCGGAAAGCGGGCTTACCATGTCTAACGTCGCTGGCCCTCGTCTCATTCAAACAATTTTGAGCGATACATTTGTGATGTGAGGCGTTGCTTCGACTCATCCAAGTTGTGGGGACCACGAAGCACGCACCAAAGAATAGCTGGCAGTCGAGATTCAGCACAGACTCGCTGTACAATACATCAACACACCGAACAGTGAGAGCCCGCACACCGAAACGAGTCAGCGGATGGGAAAGATAGCTAGCTGCCGATTAGGCTTCCAGCCCTCAAACTATCGGCCCCGAGTTTTTCCGTCTCTCGTTGGTTGTTGGATAAACACTATCAAGACGTCTACGAAGGCCAAGCACGTGGTAATGACGACCACAGGTGCTACGTTCCTCAGGCCTGGCTTCATTTACCAACATGATCCAAACGACTACAGCGAGATGTAGCCATAATATGATACCATTTTATCATGTGGTTAACGCTTTTGTTTAAACAACTTCATGCATGAGCCTAGCACCTGGACAATATCCAAGCGCATGCACCAGAAGGACAGCGCTACAAATCTAGCAGTCAGCAATCCACAGTCAGTACTTCAATACATACACGCCTGAACATGACCTTGGATTTTGTTTGAACGTGGTAGGCGCGCATGGATATCTAAACAAAAACGCCTGCCACAACATCGTCGCCGTCCGCTCGCAACAACATCCATGCTCCAGCCGAGTGCATCATCATTACCTTGGTCAGTCCTGGCGGCTGCCGCAGCGGCGGCGGGACTGTGCAGGCTGGCCTGGTGCGCCGGGCTGGGCAGCGGCGGCCGGGCCAGCGGCGGCGGCGGCAGCAGCGGCGGCGGCGGCGGCGAGGCCGGCCCCACTAAGCGCGCCAGCCGCGGCGAGGGCCTGTGCACAGCTGGGTGGCTGAGCTGCGAGTAGAGCAGCGGCGAGACGAGCGGGTGCGGCGCGTAGCCGGCCGACAGCGCCGGCACCGGACACCGCTGCTCCAGGCCGCGGTACGCCATCGCCTGCAGGTAGTGCAGGTAGGGCGACTGCTGGCACGCCAGCGGGTAGCCGTGCGGCGGCGGCAGTGGCACCGGCAGCGGC